TAGCAATTCTGTTGGTATATCTTATTATCCTTGTATATAGTGTACAATATATATTGTCTACAACAAAGCTTGTCAATAGATATATTGAAAATCAATAGTTTCAGTTAGACATTACAATGTATTTTCCTTAAACTAATGCTGGGCTACTTTTCGAGGGCTTTAGATCTCTTTGCATACAACCTTTTCACACAAACATATGTCAACCTTAAATATCTGATACCTTTTGACTAAATTAAACAGCACCTATACTGATAGATAGTTCAACTATCCAAATATAGCAATTCTGTTGGTATATCTTATTATCCTTGTATATAGTGCACAATATATATTTTGTACAACAAAGCTTGTCAATACATATATTGCAAATCAATAGTTTCAGTTAGACATTACAATTATTTCCTTGAGCATTTAAGCATTTAATGCTGGTGTACTTTTAATGGGCTTTAGATCTCTTTGCATACAACCTTTTCACACAAACATATGTCAACCTTAAATAATATCTGATACCTTTTGAATAAATTAAACAGCACCTACTGATAGATAGTTCAACTATCCAAATGTAGCAATTCTGTTGGTATATCTTATTATCTACAAAGTTTGTCAATAGATATATTGAAAATCAATAGTTTCGGTTAGACATTACAATGGGTTTTCCTTAAACTAATGCTGGGCTACTTTTAGAGGGCTTTAGATCTCTTTTCATACAACCTTCTCACACAAACATATGTGAACCTTAAATATCGGATACCTTTTGAATAGAATAAACAGCACCTACTGATAGATAGTTCAACTATCCAAATATAGCAATTCTGTTGATATACCTTATTATCCCTGTATATAGTGTACAATATATATTTTGTATAACAGAGCTTGTCAATAGATATATTGCAAATCAACAGTTTCAGTTAGACATTACAATATATTTTCCTTAAACTAATGCTAGGCTACTTTTAGAGGGCTTTAGATCTCTTTGCATACAACCTTTTCACACAAACATATGTGAACCTTAAATATCTGATACCTTTTGAATAGATTAAACAGCACCTTCTGATAGATAGTTCAATTATCCAAATATAGCAATTCTGTTGATATACCTTATTATACTTGTATATAGTGTACAATATATATTGTGTACAACAAAGCTTGTCAATAGATATATTGCAAATCAATAGTTTCAGTTAGACATTACAATGTATTTTCCTTAAACTAATGCTGGGCTACTTTTAGAGGGCTTTAGATCTCTTTGCATAGAACCTGTTCACACAAACATATGTCAACCTTAAATATCTGATACCTTTTGAATAAATTAAACAGCACCTACTGATCGATAGTTCAACTATCCAAATATAGCAATTCTGTTTTTATATCTTATTATACTTGTATATAGTGTACAATATATATTGTGTACAACAAAGCTTGTCAATAGATATATTGAAAATCAATAGTTTCAGTTAGACATTACAATGTATTTTCCTTAAACTAATGCTGGGCTACTTTAAGAGGGCTTTAGATCTCTTTGCATACAACCTTTTCACACAAACATATGTCAACCTTAAATATCTGATACCTTTTGAATAAATTAAACAGCACCTATTGATAGATAGTTCAACTATCCAAATGTAGCAATTCTGTTGGTATATCTTATTATCTACAAAGTTTGTCAATAGATATATTGAAAATCAATAGTTTCGGTTAGACATTACAATGTATTTTCCTTAAACTAATGCTGGGCTACTTTTAGAAAGCTTTAGATCTCTTTTCATACAACCTTTTCACACAAACATATGTGAACCTTAAATATCTGATACCTTTTGAATAGATTAAACAGCACCTACTGATAGATAGTTCAACTATCCAAATATAGCAATTCTTTTGGTATATCCTATTATCCTTGTATATAGTGTACAATAAATATTTTGTACAACAAAGCTTGTCAATAGATATATTGCAAATCAATAGTTTCAGTTAGACATTATACAATTATTTTCCTCAAGCATTTAATGCTAGGTTACTTTTAAAGGGCTTTAGATCTCTCTGCATACAACATGGCTAGAAATCTGGGACAAAACGGCTAAAAATATGCGCAGAACATTATGAAATGTAGAGATTCAATATGGCGTATTTATAGGCGGCAAGCTTGTTAAAATTAGAAATGGTATGCGCAGAAAAAAATATCGTGGTTTAACCTTCCTGCACAGATAACAAAATTTGAACAACGCTTCAATGATTACATACTCAGATTCATAGAGTCCAGGAAGTTTTTGATACTTTGCCAACACAGACACAATTTATCCACTTTCAAAATGAAATCGTGTTATAAAATTCCGTTCAGTGTCCAGCATATGTCACATTTAACTTGGTATTTCCACGCCGCTATGAAGCGATGAAAAGGTGCACACATAGCAATTTTTTGATTCCATGACGATCTTTCATTTTGAGGTTGCTTTAGGCGATTTCCTTCAGTGAATGGCTTGCTTTTAGTGCTTATTTATGCTGTTTTAAGTAGTCGTTGCAAGAGCCATACTATTCCAAAATCAACTTGGAAATATCGAAAATTTATTGCATATTGACCGTGTCTTTTACACTTGCTGAAAAGCGCAACAGCTGGGAAATTTGTTGTCGCTGTGCAAAAAAATCGCTGGCACATAGCCGCATGTTTATTCGAATTCGAATTTTGAACGAAATTTACAAAGCGAAAGTTTTATGGAGATCTGAACTTTTTTCGGCAATGATCGAAAAGTTTAAAGTATGGAAGCTGCTTATTAGCTCACGGACATTGCTTCTGCTGTTAAAAATGGACTTTTTAACGGTGGATTTTGGTTAAATGTTGCCGACAAAGATTCCATGGCTTCGACAAGCGGTTGTATTTTTCAAACTGCTGTGTTTATTTGTGAATCGCATGGAAACTCTCATGCTAAAGCGGTCTAAATTTACATATTATATAAATTGTAATTATATAAATTGTATTATATAATTTTCAAATGGCTTGGACTGAATATGGGCGAGTGATAAGTACATTCAAATGCGGCAAAGTAGACCGATGGCTTGAACACAATATTGGCGCGCGTGAGTTTAAGCAAAGTCTCTCGCCCCAACGTTGACTTCTAAGGTGCTGTTTATATGATCTCGGGTACCAGGGATACCCTACCCCCCGAGACACCCTGGTAGAGAAGAAATCATATTCATATTATAGCACCTGAAACGCAAGTGTTTATATGGAAGGTTTTAAACTCGCCTCGGCTGGTAGGGTCACCCTGGGGGTAGGGACACCCTGTTTACGAAAGAGGGTAACCCCAGAGGGAGGGATAATTTTTATGCATGTAAACAGTTTGTCTCGGCCCCCAGGGTTAACTTTTCACAACTTTTCACAACACCAGCGAAACTGATAAAAGAAATGTCGAAAAAAGAATACGACTCTTATAACCAGAAGTACAGCCGCGAGATTAATGAGATTAAGACTGGCTATAAGCGTGTCAAAGAAAAAATCAAAACAATAAGACAAGACTACTCGAAAGCTGTTACAACGGGAAGGAGAAGCGGAAGTGGAAGAGTTATCCTGGAATTTTATGAGGATTTTACAAAACTTTGGGGTGGTTCGCCGTCAACGCAACCTTTACCTTTCGGAATAGATTCACAAGGTATGAACGACCAAATCGACACAGTCGAACAGGAGTTAGAAGGTAAATGATTTGTACATTGTAGCATAATGTACCTGATTTAATTCTAAGTGTTATAATTTATAGCAGTATATTTTTTACTGTCACTGTACAGATTTTAATACAGATCAAGAAAGCATTCGCTCAGTGACTCCAATATCTGTTGAGAAAGGGGGAGAAGACAATGATTCAGATCTGGATGATAACATTTCCATTGGAAGCAATTTTTCTGAAGTTTCTACTCCCAGTGCAAGTAAGAAGAGGAAGATGGAATTGGAAGTTGTGTCTAATGTGCCACAGCTCATTGACAATAAACGGAAAAGTTTAGAAAAAAGGTTATCAGCGGCTCAGCGAGACCAGAAGCTCATTGAGGCAGCAAAAGAAGACACAGCCATGCGAAAAGACATGCTTGAATGCTTTAAAGACTCATCAGCAACTACAGCTCGTGCAATGGAAAATATGTCTTCCACACTTAAAGAAATGTCTCAAGGCATGACTCAAGCAATGGTACTACTTGCCAATGCTTTTACCCGACCACGGCAGCCCATTCATCAGAATCCTTCATTTATGCCTCATCATTTCAATCAGCCATTATCCTTTGGTACTGAGCATAATCCATCTGCTTCTTACACAAATCCAGGTGATCAAGGTAGCTCATTCTTTGAACTGAACTGACATAACATTGTTTTGTTGATAATTAACAGTGAAAATTTTAGCAACTACAGTAAATGGGTTGATTTATTGTTAATATTTCATTACTTGAACTGAGGATGTTTTGCAAGTTCCCATTGGTCCTAGGGTGAGGCAGCTCTTGTAACACAGAGAGAAAACCATGTAATTAATTGTTTTGAATTAAGGCACAGGGAACAACAAGAACCACATTTATGATATTGCCTTGACTAGCTTCAAGTTTATAAAGAAATATGTATTAGCTATCCTTCCATGCTATAGTTTTGACATTGCCTCACTCTAAGTGGTCTGTATCAACTAACCTACGGGATTAGAGAGCTTTTAATGAGCTAGTTCATAGTGTAATATGTTTGTTTTTAAGACTGTGCACAGAGGTTTATGTTTTTAAAGTTTATTAATACTATGTTATTGGTTGTTAAAACTTTCTTTAATCAAACAGGGAAAAAAGAAAAATACAGTACATGACATTGTAACTCTGCAAATATGACGATTTCTTAACTTTCTTTGTCCCCTTTGCCTGTTGCCAAAGTTTGCATGTAACTGGACCATATTGTGGACCATGGCCCCTACAAGTACATATGTGATTGTTACATGCATGTGTATTTATTTTTCCAGTTTTATCAATAACAACATGAAGTCCATACACAAACATAATCAATGTTCAATGTGCTCCTTCAGGAAGGCAACAATTGTATTCCTTACAGAAATTCCTGCTGCAGAGTTGCATGAATAGATAAGGTCTGGGGTCACATTTGGTTGCATTTCACGATCGTATGCAATTTGCCTTTGCACACTGTCATCATCAACCGAGATACCATACACTGAGCAGAAATTGTGGAGAACAAAGCAGGCATATATCACACATGGAACATTTTCCAGCTTCAGATTAATTTTTCTGTTTAAAATTTGCCATCTTGCTTTTAGGCGGCCGAAAGCACACTCGATTTGGTTTCTTGATGATCTTAGCAAATTGTTGAAAATAACCTCTTCATTTGTGTTACAACTGGTAAATTCATTCATGCAGTAGGGCAATAATGTGTAGGCAGGATCAGCAAGCAGTAATGACGGGATTTTATCATGGCCAGGTATTAATGGTCTATACACAGTGGGAAGCTTTCCCTCTCTCAACATGATGTTGATCTTGGAATTGGTGAATACTTTTGCGTCATGGACGCTACCCGGCCATCGACAATCGACATCAAGAAATAGACCCCTGTAGTCACACACTGCTTGAACATTGAGCGTGTACTTCATCTTATATGAGAAAAAATCTTGTGAATTGTCCATCGGTTGTTGTATAGGTATATGTGTACCATCAACACATCCGAATGCTTGAGGAAAACCATGCCTGGACTCAAACTTAACAACTAGTTCTCTCATTTCTTCAACAGTTGAAGGCAGTTTTATGTATCTGGGGCCAAGGTTTGCAGAAATAGCCTGACACACTTCATAAATAGTTTTCGATACAGTACATGTAGCAACACCAAACGAGTTTGCAGTCATGCGAATGGAACCAGTATCCTTCAAATAATAAAGCGTGATAGCTACTTTTTTTTCTGATGTAATTGCACTCCAGTTTGGTGACGTATTATCTGGCTCAACAAATGGACGAAGTTCTTCAACTAGTTTCATAAAATCGTCCCTGCTCATACGAAGGTTTACATTCCACTCTTCCTCAAGGAGATGACCTTTCCACAGATTGTTCCACCACTGTTCAGTTCGCCCAGGTTTCTTCCAGCATGACCGAGTCCTTTTTCGTAAAGTCCATTTTCGTTTTGCTTTCATTATGAAAGGATTTCCTTTAATTGAAGCGTGACCAAACAATATATTTTGTTGCATTTGTTGCTACGCGATTAAAGAAGTAAGGATTTCACTCAACATCGAAATTATAATTAAAATATTGGAAACAATTGATAAAAAACAACTCACACACTCTTTATCTTCTTCGTCGGCCATGTTTTTTTTTCAAAAAAAGAAAAATTTCCCGCCAAAATCCCGGGAATTCCCGGCTTGCTGTTTTTATCATTTTATTATATAAACGCTCGGTAAAGTTGTCTCGGGGGGTAGGGTATCCCTGGTACCCGAGATCATATAAACAGCACCTAAAACGAGAAAAAAGTACGTATTATGTTTCTTACAACCACTAGTTTCACTTCTCGTTGATATTTCCCCGGATAATTCCGCATTTTTACGGGAACATATGCCTAAGCAGCTGTGAAGTTTGTAAACCTGAGTCACGGGTATTTATTGAGCAAGCCGGATAGCTCGAAATCTCAAGGAAATCTCCAAACTTTTTGCACTAAATTTGGCATCCACATTGTTTGTTGTTTGAGATGAACAGCATTTTGTTGATGTGAAAATTGCCCTTCCCAATGAAATCGTGGATTGTACTTGATATATTGAGTATTTGTGTGCTTTTACCGGTTGACGTGTTCAGCTAAAAAATCATGAAACTATTTGAAGAACTGCGAAGAACTTTTGCTATATTCCTTGGCACCAATTTAATAATTGTTGTACAGAAAAGTCAGCTCCGTTACGTTCCCTCAAGCAAGAAATATTCTAAAAGTATGTCCTTGATTTTTTCCGTCCCATTCTGTATTTACGCGTGGTCCCTACTCGACCAGATTAAAAGACAATTAGCCGAAATCTCCAAAATTCTAATTGTACTTTTGAATTCCCTGGAGGTGTAGAAAGAAAAATTTCAAAATCGTTTTTAATTATAAATTGCCCCCATAAGCGTAATTTCGCATATAATCTCTGTGTCTGTACATCGTCGTCAAGCGAAGACCAAAGCAACTCTCCAAAAATGTGCTTTGCGGAAGGCTACTTCTTGCAGGATTTAATTTCTTTTTGCAGCATTTGCAACACACGGCACAAAATTTATTCCTTTTTATTCCTTTTTATTTTTGATGGCATTAAAAACAAGCAAAATACCAAAAAAAAGTTTGGCTACCATGTTTTTGTTTATATATTTAAAGGTCCGCCGTGTAGTGCGCGAAATATATTCGTGGGGTACACGCAAGCCGAACTAGCGCATGCGCAACAAATTTCCCAGCTGTTAAAAAGCGCCATTTTGAAAACTTACAAAAGAATCTGCTGGACAGTGTTTATTGTTTTGTGGGCTCAAATTACAAAAAAAATAGCGCGAAAGTTTTAAATTTTTTGAATAATCCGTGCGAAATTTGAGTGTTGTTTCAAGGTGCTTCTTAAAATTTTTGTTAATATATCACACTGTTAAGTGGATTTGGGCTTTTAAGAGGATAAAATGTCTGATATTTCACCTCCAGCATCATTTTTGGAATATAAATTAGGGATTGAAAGGGCGTCAGTTCAATATGCAACGCAAACTAGAGCCATTGCCAGAAATGGGGGACACGTCTATTACGCATGCTCCGAAATTTAGCATGAAAATAACATTTAGCTTATAGATTTCTGGCTTGCAAAAAACAAAAAACACAAAAAAGACCTTTTTAAAATTTACTTACAACAAATGCCCTAGCGTTATTGATTAGAGCGGTGTGGCATGATTTCAGTTTTCTGTGTTTCATCTAGATAATCTGCATCGTGCCTCTGCATTTTTCTTTTCAAAAAAAATTTTTTCCCGCAATATAATATGTATTGAACGCAGTCTTTTTTACCCCTCTTGTAAGAATTTAAACCACGGTAATTTTGCCCCAGTTCAGATATCCAGACTTGCCTCGCTTGGATTGATTTAACCAATAATAATAGAGTTTAACTTTTAAGTCTCAAACAAAATCATCGTTTCATAGCTCTGCATTTTGTCCCTGAATATCAAAGAAACTTGTAAAACAAGAACAAAGGTGATATTCAATCTTTTGTCGCAGCTGTTAAATTAGAAAGGCTTTAAAAAACTTTTTTCACGGCAACCCAATCGTGTTTGCTATCAAAATGATCAGCAAAAAATGCTTGTTTTTATCCTGCAATGTTTTCTGGGTATATGAGCAGTAATTTTGGTCAGTGGACTCTCACAAACGTTCGTCAGTTCGCGCGTTGTGGCGGTAAAGTTAAATACAGCTTTCGAAACACTGCAAGTTTTTCCAGTTATACTGTATTTTGAGATCATGTAGCCTAAAAATGTCGGATATCGTTACAATTTTAGATTTGCAGAAGTTGGAAAATAACATCCAAATTGCTGATCCAAATAAATGTTTGAATTATGTCAGAAACGAGTGTGTGTCATCTGAACGAGTTGTCTTTGCTATAAGTATACCGTGTCCTACATTGCGGTTTTGGTATAACTGCAAAGCCGAAAATGGTCTGCTAAGTCAAGTCAATTGCAGCTACATCGAGATACTCAACTATTACCTCAGCCAGATAAGTGGATATAAAATAAAGGAAAACTGCGACAGAATTGAAGGTCGTTTAAGGCGATTGTGTGGTCAAACTGCAGCGACATATGTAGGGGCAAATGGTACAACTTTTAGGAAACTCGACCTCAAGTTCTTCAATGTTTCGGTACGTGCAGGGGAGTTTCAGACAATAGCAGAAATAGCATCTAAACTAAAAGAAGAACAAGCAAAAAATGAACAATTGTACCAAGAGAACGAAATCCTTAAAACCCGGTGTGAAGAATTATACAGCAAAATGACGGAGGCCCAAATGAACCTACAGCAGGCGACAGTAAACATTGACAGCCTACAAACTGAAAATATGGAACTGTATTCATATATCGAGAACATTGGTCAAGACATTACCTTTGATAACAAGAATAAAAAGGTTTTTGAAGTTGGCAAACGTCAACAAAGGAGGAAACTAAAAGAACTAAAAACTAAAATTGATCAAGCACTGTGGTTTGCTAAAACCTTTGGTCTTGAATTACAATCAGTTAATCTTTTGGATGAAAAAGGTTCTGACCACACAATAACCTATAAGAAAGAATCCAATCCTGCAAAAGCTTATAAAGACCTGACAGAAGAAGAGCAAGAGAAAGTAAAACAAGTATTATTTTTATTAGACAATTTCTGTGTGAGCGATGCTGCATACCATGAACTGACAATGAGCGAGGGAGGAAATCAATTGCCACGGTCATACCTTATCAAGCAGTGTAAAGAACAACTTAATTCACTGTGCCACATAATACGGACACCTGGACAGGCTGAAGGAGTCCAACTGGACTTTAAGTGTGAATTGGAAACATATATCAGAAAGAAGGCAAGTACAGTACACCATGTAGATGTACATATTTATAATTCAAATTATGACATAAAAAACATTTCCCATATTTTCCCTTTTAAAGCTTTACTTTGTCCACATTAGTACCTAGCTATATCCTAGGGCTACCTTGTATTACAGTACATCATAAATATAACCTCATAACCTGCATTTGGACTAAAGTTGGTGGATGCTATATACTCATTATGTTATAACATTTTATTTTGCAGTTTACAAGTAAAGACATTAACATTGAGGATCCAGACTTCAAACTAAAGGTTAAGCTTTCAGGGGATGGTGCAAAAATGTCAAAACTAACAAATTTTGTCGTGATATCATTTGCACTGTTAAACGAAGAAGATGCCGTAATGTCCTCACGAGGTGAAGTGTTACAAAATTATTTATTAATCTAGATACCATACTGTATGAGATACCATGATGATAACATTTTCTTTTGCAGGAAACCATTCAGTAGCCATAATCAAGGGTCAGGAGTCATATGAACTGTTGCAGACTTCATGTGCTGCTATATTCAAACAAGTGAACATGTTAGTAAAAGAGAAAAAAATATCAATCGATGGAAAGGATATTCCTTTGGACATGTATCTGGGAGGTGATTACAAGGTAAACATTTGAGATGTCACATCTCCTCAGTTACTGTGCTAAACTTACTGAGAAAAATTTGAGAAAGTTGTTTTTATTTTTATATATACAAAAGTTTCTTCTTTTGGTCCTGGGGATGAAGGGAGCCACATCGGACCATGGGTGTATATGGTGCAAAATCCATAAACATGAAAGGTAATTGCAACAAATTATCAAAACAATAAATCAACATTCATTAATTACCATTTAGATGTTGATCAAAATTCTTGCACAATGCATTATAGATATGACATGTCAAAGTCACAGGAATATTACTGGAGTGATAATATTGTCAGAACCTTGGATGACATCAAAGAGTGTGCCAAAAAGCAAAAATATTCTTGTGAGCATATGCCACTTGTTAATATACCCTTAGAGAATGTTATCTTGGATGAACTTCATCTAATGCTACGAATAACAGGTATTAGTATGTCCTACTAAGTATATATATTTTACATGTTACACTGTTAATTGATCTAGTATTGTCATGTACATTTTGGTTGTGTTTCAGATAAACTGACAAAAAATTTAGTTGAAGCAGCCCTCGAATGGGACAAAAAGGACAACTTAAACAAACCACCATCCAAGAGATGTAATAAACATATAGAAGATCTAGTTGAAGCAATTCGAAGTTGTGGACTTTCTTTTCAGGTTTGGGAAAAGACAAATGGAGATGGAAGTGGAAGTGGTGTGTACGATTTTACAAGTCTCATGGGGTCAGCTAAAAAGTTACTGTTAAAAAAGTTACCTGACAGACTAAAGGGGATTATTAAGCCTGACACTGAAGAGGCTATTATTAAATTATGGAAGGTAGGCAACATGACTATCTCTGCTACAATGCTGTATACTGTACACTGAATAAACACAGGTCTCCTTATTCAATGCGAAAAAATCTTAGTTTACCTTTTGAAAACAATTTTGTTACCACTAATTAGGATTTTGACAAAGTATATACATTACTGGGACAGAAGAATCCAACTGATGAAGATGTTGAGCAATATTTTCTTGAGGTATTGTAAATTAAGTTATATATACAAAAAAGTATGAAATTATAGGGTTACCCTGCCCAGAATTACCACATGTCAAAATTACTGTAAACTAAAAGAGTCAAGCTTAAATGAAATACAGGTATTTCAACCAAAAACATAAACATCTTCAGGTTAACATTCAAAATAATATATGCATGTATATGTCTACAGGCTTCAAGATGGGTTTCATCTTTTAACTCTCTCGGAGGAAGTTGTTTTGGATATGAAAAGGCTCGTGTAACACCTTATATGCACAGCATGGTTTATCATGTACCTCATTTCATGAAAGAGCACAGAAGTATGAAGATATTTACTGGTCAAGGTAATTACACTAATATAATCAAGTTTATACTCTTATTAAGCCTTGCTACACAAGGCTTTCTCGAGAAATAATTGCTGCTCAATATTTAAAATAATATTCTCAATATTGCAAAAGATCTGGTAGAAAATTTGGTAAACAACAATTGCAACATGTAAAAAAAGTGCAGAAAGTCAGAAACTCACCTTATTTACTAGTATCCAAGTTTAAAGTTCAACATACTACAGTAGTCCCAATTCCACATATAACGGTAACAATAATTTAAGCCTTGAACGTTTTGTTTAATTTCGACTTTGAATAAAGATCCCATTACTTACAATATATTTGCAACACATTTCAAATGGACATGGTAATGCCGTTCTAATTTATACACTCGGTTGGTTTACAGCTCGCGTTCCCATGTGTCCGGCCCACTGATCTCAATAGAAGACTGTATAATGTATTACTAGGGACAATAGACAGCTAATACCAGCTGATGCCAGGACATCATCGACAAGGGGGATTGACATTAATGTACGAGTCAATTTTATCTTCCCATTCTTCCCAAGCAAAACCTAAGAAATTTTTAATTTGGCTAAAAGGTTAGTCAAATGCCCTGCTGTGAAAAATGCAGTCAAATGCTATAAGACTCATCAATTTTAATATTTACCAAGAGGCATTATTACAATAATTTTACCTATTTCGGGAGGAGCCCGCATTCTAAACCCATATGTTTAAGCTCTAAATAAAATGTTTTAGGTGTAGAGAAATTAAATGATGATTGTCGGCGCATCCACCTACAGCGTTCCAACAAGTGGGATGCACCTAAAGACGTCCTACTGGTAGAAAAAAGGTTGGAAAATCTTGTCAGTCATGCAAGACGTCCAAGGCCTTACGAAAAGCACACCCAACAATATTGGGAAAAAGATATAATCGAAAAACGTGCCAAACGTATTCGAATTTGTCAACAAAATGCACCAGCAGCCCCGGATGCTGTAAATGTCGAAAATATGACTGCTGAAGAAATAAAAAAGATGCTGATGGAAAAGGGTGTCAAAACTCGTCTTAGATCATTACCAAGACTCAAGGAACTTCTCAGAAATCAGCTGGCATTAGAGGCACTACAACTTTAAACTTCAGTCTTATAACTTTACAAAAAAGGTTAATGACATAACTTTCAAATAGTTGATAGCATTAATCAAACCATAGTCAGCCATAACTATTCTGTTTTTAAAGTTAATGTTAGCATTCTACAAAGCATTAATGTTTCCTTTACTTTTTCAGCAAATTATGAATATTGCATGGACGTTTGACTATAACAATGCATAATTTTTCAATTGGCATCTTTGAGCCTTCTGTGAGTCTGTTGTTTTGCAACATAAAGTTAGCATGTGTCCATGTTAACAATGGCTTTATTTTTATTGGAAAATCTATTGCACAACCTTCACCATTCTTATCAAGGATATACCACCAATTGTTTGGAAGCTCTTCAAACAGACATAAATCATCTTTTCCGTAAAGTTTAAATCCACGATGTTCAGAATTCCTGCCTTTGTTGTGGCTCACATAACGCCATATGTCACCATCCAGATGGACATAAACTGGTGCTCTTGACTTTCCTTTTAGACAATTGCTTATTCCAGAAAAAAACTGTCGTCCTGCCTCATATAGTCTTTCCTTAGCAGGCTTCACTGGATTGTCATAGTTTCTGCAAAATATGAAACATAATATTCATTTATAATATCAGATATTTATTTCTCTTACTTTAATTTTACATCAATAAAATCCTTCATGTTGTTGTTTATCAAATGGTACATGTACCTCAAAAGCTGGGTGGAAAGATGACAGCCTGGTTCCCATGTTGAACTTTCCAATGGCCAACCTTCCCATTTAACAAGATATTCCTCACCCTTAGAAAAGAACTAGTGTCATTTACACAATCTAATGTCGATTTTTAATTTGACTTGAAGTGCTTGCTTAGAATAGCAATAAAAATCATTAATGTAATCAACAAATTTTCAAAGAGGCAAAATCGTGTTTAAAAATTAAATATTTTTTACCTTTTTAGTAGTTCTCCGAGTAATGATCCTTTCGACCTGAAAGGTTTTCGGATAAGTGTTCACCAGCCGTTTTTTAGGCCTTGTTTCGTATAATATCTCTGAAGAAATGTGATGAAGTTGATAGTAATCTATTCTCACACTCCTTTTGCCCGCCATCTTGAATTCTCACTTTGTGTTATCCCGCAAAACGAAGTACTTTGCGCATGTAGGATACGTCCGCTGGCGTGTGCGGCTCATGTCCCCCATTTCTGGCAATGAAAACCGGTCCTCATGGCACTGGCAATACCTTATCCACTTTGGAAAGCTTGGTATGAATTCATGGATACACAAAAGAAGAAAACTAGAAATGTTAAAAAACCACTAACGGAGCGGTTATTAAGTAAGTATATTTCAGGAATCTATTTCAAAAATTTGAAGAAAACATTAGTATCCCATATTTGCATTCCCTTTGTTGGAAGCATGAAAATGTTTTATATTATTATACTAGGATGATGCGCAAGTGAACATTTTCCTCAACCAACTCCCCCATCCCCATAACACACACTTTGAACATGACAGCTGCCTAAATGCATCTAATTCTTCAGATTCTCCAGACTCAAGTTCCACAGTGCATTTGCATAATTGCTCTTGGACATATGTTGACTTACTGGAATACTCCATACCTGGAAACATATTCCTTTTTTCCCAAGAAAGCCAAACTAGAAGCGAAATAGAAGAATCCCTGAGAAAGATTGCTTCCTCTGTTAACAGTGAATTTAGAAAGGCGAAAGGGTCAAATAAGAAAAAGCAACTTAATTCTACAGTGAGGAAATTCCATATTTTTGAAGAAATGATTCAGTCGGTTAAAGAACTGGACATTGAAAACAAAAGCATAAAAGATGAGATGGAATTATGGAAGAAAAATTGCCAAAACCTTCAAGAAAAATTGGATAATCTGTACGAAGACATGGTCACAGCTATAAATGAAAAGAATGAGGAAATTGTTGGATTGCAGAATAAAAATGAGCAGCTTGATGAGTATATTAAATGTTTGGAGAAAGATTTGAAATTCTCCAATCAAGGCAAGAATGTGTCTGATGTGAAAAACAAATCGAGAACACTGAAAACATTTATTTCTAGGGCCAAAACAGCATTATGGTTTGCCAAATCGTTTGGCTTGGAGATTGAAAGCATCAATGTGAAAGAGGACAAAACTGGAATAAAACATTCCATGGCAACCGGAAATGATCAGGACGCTAACCATGAGCTTCATGGTATTGATAGTTTGCCTGATGAAGAAAGGAAGAAAATTGAAGAAATTTTATTTCTTCTTGATCGGTTTTGCGTGGGTGACAACTTCTACCATGAGCTATCAATGGTGGTTGATGGTCTACCTAAGTCTTACTTAATACGGCAGAGAAGAAAGCAGCTCAATGACTTATGCCATGTAAATCCAACACCCGGAACCGCTGAAGGTGCCCAGTTATCATTCACCCACCTTCTTAAAGGAAGAATTTCAGATCTTGTTGTCCAAACTGGAAAAACCGATTGGACCTCACAACCTATTAAAATTAAGGTTTCAGGAGATGGTGCCCGAATGACAAGAACCACAAGCTTTACATTGCTTTCATTTTTACTCCAGAGTGGCAATCAGGTGATGTCAGCTAATGGCAACCACACCATAGCCATAGTGAAAGGCTCAGAGAGTTATGTGACAATCAAAGAATCAGTTTTTGATGAACAATCTATGCAGATTATAGTTAACAATACAGATATAATTTAGAATTCTTTCTTGGTGGAGATTATAATTTTTGCTAACAATGATGGGAATGAAATGTGCGTCAGCAAATTATTCGTGCATTTGGTGCAAAGTAACTAAAGATAATCGGTGGAAAATGGATTTTGTTTGAAAAAGTACAACTCTGCACCACTGAAACGCACACTTAAGGAAATCACACAGATGGCAGACAAAAGGAACCGAAGACAATACTCGTGTGAGCACCCACTCCTCCTAATTAGATCACATTATCTTGGATGAACTACACTTACTTTTAAGAATAATGGACATTTTAATAGGAAATTTAGTACAAGAAGTTATCACATGGGATGCCAAAGAAAATTTCAACAGAAGAAATCAGAAAGAAGCAACCTTCGTTTACGAAACTGCAAAGACAATACGATCATGCGGTGTAAGTTTTGAAGTCTGGGAAAAAAGGTCAGAAATGGGAAGGGTGACTATGATTTCACCAGTCTGCTTGGTGATGACAAGAAAAACTGTTGGTAGAACTTCCTGGTAAGTTACATGAATGCATTCACTCTGAAACGTGTCAGGGAGTGGTGGATTTGTGGGTGTCAATTGTATGGTGTAATAACTGACAAAAATTCATCAAGTAAAATGGCTACCAGCTACTTTAACATGGCTGGGTGAAAAATTTACATCACTTGGGGTCAACTTCATGGCAAACGATCAAAAGTAACTCCATATATGCACTGTATGGTGTTCCATGTGCCATAAGTACAATTCGATAAACTTTTCACCAGGAGGGAGAAAACACGATGTGGCCAGAAGATTGTGCTGTGCAAATCCAACAAGAGAGAACCTGCTGTTGACGTATTAAAGCTTGAATCTCGACAATGGAATTTACGCGAGTGCGAGCGTCCTAAACGATCTTACGTTAAACGTAACAGTGAGTATTGGGAAACAGAAATAAAGGAAAAGCGAAAAAGGAGCAATAACATGTAACAATATTATGATTCAGTTAAACTAAGTTGCATTACTAGTAAGTTACATTAATGGACTTGTTTAGATGAAGCGAGTTTGAGGTGCCAGCTTGGGATCTCGCTGGTATACATGCTACAAAACAATCTTAAACTCTATTTTTGTTAGTTACTTTGAAAATAATGACAATGTTGTATGTCAAGGATTGTAGATTATCTCCTTTTTTGTATTGCAAACAGTGGCGGACTTTATGAAATATTGGGGTCGAGAAATCCATTAACATTTAGTTTGGCAATTCCGTTATAATGGGTGAGTTGCGTTACTTCCTACAATACTTTACAGTCTTTCAAAATCATTAGGGGGGGGGGCTGGAGCCCCACTTGGCCTCCCTAGTGTCCACCACTGATTGCAAAGCTACATAAATAAGGTTTTGAGCAATTTTTTCTCACTCTCTTTTAGACAATATCAACAGTAAACTGTATATATTAAGTCATAACTGATTGTCATTTGGTTCAGCTAAAAATATATACCTAATATTCTATTGAAATACTGTAGGCTTTCTTGCAGAATGAAATACTTAGTTTTTCAAGGCAGTATCGTGGGAGTGGTTCGATTTTTCCATTCAACGAGCGGTAGTTCTTAGGGCTCCAGGATATATAAGGGTGTAGTTTAATAGGAAAATCAACTTTCACTCCATCTCCAACATGATCCAAAATTCTATCCCAATTGAGGGGAAAACCACAAAAATCAAAGTCTTCCTCTTTTAGCAGAATTGATCCTTGTTGCTTGCTTCTTTCACCTTTACCATTAAAAAGGAACTTAAAAACATCATGCCGAAAGTTAATAACAGTAGCCAAAATACTTCTGGATTTAAGATGAAGGAGAATCCCAGCAGCCAAGGCATCGATTCCTTCAGATATGGCTTCTTTTGATGGTTTGGGATTTGTGTATGATCTATATATATACAATTAACATAAATAAAAAGTTAGTATAGCATTTTGACATACACTGTCATTCAGACTCAGAATGACAAGAAGCCATGTCAAAAATTTATAGAACTAATTGTTATATATACCAATTATAAAAAACCAGGCCAATTAAGTTGATGTTAGGAATTAATCTCTCTTAGGGGTTGACTTGGACAGGTATTCTATAATTTTTTAAAGCAAATTTTGAAATCCACAAGGCATTCCAGCAAGAAATTTTATATATAGTCAATTGTAGTCAATTATTGGTGCCATCATCATTTTGGCAGCTCCATTTTAATGACAGTAAGTACTAAAGACAAAATAAACAGAACATAATACCTTATCGCTACCTGGTTTAGATTTTCTTCCGGCTCCCAGGTGTTTTCATAGCTCGAGTAGCCTTTCCA